TTAAGTTTCTACAATTCCATTGCAGATTTCCCAAATATTTGTCAAAATGACAAAAGCATCTGCCTTACAGACTTGCATTTTCTCAAACACGCTTTTTTTTAAGTTTCTTTAGGTAATAGGGTACCATAGGCCCAATGAGACAAAAAGCTGTTGTGTGGACTTACCAAGCAAAATTATCCATTGCCAAGAACTCATTCCAAGCACTGAATAAGTTTATTCTTGTCTGTGCTTATACTGCCATATTTTACTGAATAGGATCAGACCTTGACTAGTTTTTACTAACCATTATGTTTCCCTTTAAATTTAAAATCACAGATAAACATTTTTTTAGGTGTCATTTTTCTTTGAAGGAGGAGAAAGGAAGTGACCAATAAGGCTGCTTTGAATATTACTTTCTTTTCAAATACCGAGTTGTTTCCTCCAGCTCCTCATTCTTTGACTTCTGCCTATTCTTTCTGCTTCGTATGCCTTGGCTAGAACAGGCGAACCTTTAATTTCTCATTTTTATAAATTAGCCCCATATTTGTTATGAGGCTTATGCATACTAATGCCCATTTTTTAATTGTGTATGTCTGTAACTTGCCTTTTAAAATTAGTTTTGATAGTTAGGAAAGAGGCGGCTAAATTTAAATAATTACCAAAGGGTAAAATTGCTGTTAATATGGCACCATCCCCAGTTAATATTAAAGAGAATAGGTTTTTTGTTTTGCAGGGTTATTGATTTGTTTTATTTAAACTCCATGTATATCTGCTTCAACAGCAGTTGGCTCTACTTTTTAACCCTTTGGGGTTCGAATTTTCACAACCTCAGAGAAGGTTCAAAGCTACAATCCTCATGTGGTCAGGACTGTGTTCATCTGCACACTGTGAATCCAAACTGGCACAGACTAAAGCGGATTGACGGTCTTTGCAGCTGTAGCAGAACTTGCTTTCATCAGAAAATAAAGAACATTTTCAATTAATTTTGTCTCCTAGCATTCCCACGGAAGAGGTGGCTGTTGGCTGCGTTTGACAGAGGAAACAACCTGAGCACTGGCAGGGTGTAGCTGGCTTCTTCATAAAAATAGCCCCCGAAGTTCAGCGACAAGCTGAAATGTCAAACCTTGCACAGGCATATTAATACCTTCTTGATTTTTCTGAGTGCTGTAAGCATTCAACAGCCTTGAAGAGGAAGGTATCAAGGTTTTCTAAAGGAAGCACTCACATATGACTAGCCACATCTGGAAAAAAAAAAAATCCGATTTAGTAATTTTTAAAATGACATGGAAAAATGGTGGAAAAGTGGCAAATCCTATAAATGTTTTTAAAAGTGTTCTCCTTCCTTTGCCTAGTCAGGTACTCTGTATGTAGTTGCAGGGGGAGATTTGGGGGAGTGGAAGAAAACCCAAACTGGATGACTGGAAAACCAGAAAATCTGCAAAATCCCAGCACAAACTTGACACAAAGCTGAAAGTATTGAAGCCTTTTGGGAAGCAGTTGCTAGCAAATTGAAGAGAACGTCCAGAAACTGACAGCTAGCTTTTAACCTAAATCAGGACAAGGGAAAAAATGACTTCACAGAAACTATTCAAACGTAGTGCTCAGAAAATACCTGCCACTCCAGGAAAATACTTCAGTGACAGAATAGCTTGGCAAGTGATTCTGATAAACAATTTTTTGTAAGGTGTCTGTATAGACCCAGTGGTGTGTGTATCCATATTTATAAACAACATATATGGCGATATATACATGGATTTCCATGTATATCTACACATAAATGTGTGCACAACATCCTGATAGAATAGATTTTATGGTTCTAAACTTCTTCCCCCCTCTTAGGCCCTACTGAGCAGGGTACTTCAGTTGAGCAGTTTTGGTCCCATGTGTCTGAGTTGTCTGTTGAAGCGGGAGCTGTTTTCCGATGTGCTGACCTCCACAGAATGAGGAAAGGTCTCCATCCCAGCCTGAAAGCGAAGGACGAAACACTTCAGTACAGAGTGACTCCACTGTAACTTGCAGAAAATGAGCGCTTCTCTGGAACAGCTTTTTTAAAGTCAGAGATGCTCCTTATTTGAATAAAGCCTAGGAGTATATTTGAATAAAGCCCAACAAAACAAAATAATCTGTAACCCTTCAAAGACTTACATTTTCTTTCAACATTCTTGTTGTGGTTTGGAGGTTATTTTACTAGATTTGCGAACCTAACATGCTTCTTTCTGTTTCACCAGAGCCTGCTGTATCTGCAGGCTTATCTCTAAGACAACAGCTAAAGGGTTGCGGAACCCAGTCAGAAATCTCCGGTTCCACGCGTCTGAAACATCCCGCAACTTCGTACCGCGATGTTTCCCGGCCAGACCCCGGAGAGATCGGGGAGAAGGAGCAAGGATGGAGCCGTTTTGCAGGGGACCGGGGAGGGACAATCCCCCGGCTGCCTCCCCGACCCCCAGGGAGGGCAGATTTGCAGGCTAAGGGCACGACAGATACTGAGTCCCAAGAATTTGGCTTGTAACTGCGATGGTAGATTTAATTTGGGGGGTGCCGGAGGGTTGTGTGGTAGAAATACAGCTCTTCCAGGCACCGAGAGGAGTGAATGAAAAAGCTCCCGAGTTTGAGGCGGTTCCCTCAAACCGAAGCGCCGCTGAAGCTCCGGGAGTCCTTGCCCGACGGGGCTCCCGGGGTGGGGGACAGCCCGGTCCCGGCCTCCCCTCTCACCGCCCGCCGGGAGCTGCGGGGTGCGGTGCGGGGAGGGAGGCCAGGCTGCCCCGCTCCCGAGCTCCGTGAAAATAACGCCGGGTCTGGAAAGAGCTGGATGAACCCTTCGTTCGTTAGGGAGAGCCTCACCCCAGGCGTGTTTTGAACCAAACCGAAAAGCTCTTCCTTTTCGCCGGGCGGCCACGGTTTTCCCACTCCCCGCACCCCCCGAGACAGCGCGTTCCGCGGGAAACCATCGAAAGCTTTTCTACCTTTCTCTGTTAAAGGCGAGATGCGCCGAGTTTTGGGGGAAAAAAAACCCAACGCAGCAGCCTTGAACTAAGCGACACCTGTCCTGCCAGGATGTTTTAAATCACGGGACCGTTCCAGTCTGTAACCTTGGAAAATTAATTCCCTTAAATCCTATCTAGTATCTCGGTACAATCTCCTCCCGTCTCTGCCCTAGCCCAGGAAAGGCAGATCCCGGGGGAGCGGGCTGTCGGAGCGGAGACCCGGACGGGGACCGGCCCCGCCGAGACCCGCGATGGGGGCTCGCCGGCCGCGGGGAGGGATGCGGGGGCTCGTTTGGTTTTGTTTTGTTTTGCTTTGCTTTCCGAGCAGGGCTCGGCTCCCCTCCTCGCCCCGCGGCCAATGCAAACCCCTTGCCGGGCAGCGGCCGGTCCCCTTCCTTCCGCAGCACCGGGCTTCTCCCGCACTTTTTTTTGTTGTCTTCCTCCGTCGGACGAGATCAAGGCAAAAATCGGGTCCGTCAAACGTTATGCCGGAGAGAAGGGGTGGTTAGGGCTGAGGGCGGGGGCTGTTTTAGCTGTGATGAGCCTGGCCGAGGCTCCCCCCTGTGTGGCCACAGCCGGAGGTGGGCACCGCAGTAGCCGGTACCCCCCGTCTCTCGGCTCCTACCGGGGGGTAGGGATCGAGCCACGGCTGACCTCCGAGCCGCCGGTGTCCTCCCCCCTCCTCGACGGGCACCCACCGCCACCCGCCCGCCTCCGTGCGGGCCCCAAATTTGCGCCAGAACCGCATCCCGGCGGGGATCCTCCGCTGCCCCGGGGTTTGGCGGCCGCGGTCAGTTATTGGCGATTTATTTCGGTTGGCCCGACGCGGACACGGCCCGGCGGGAGGCGGTGTGGGCGAGCGGGGGGCGAGCCGGGGGCTAGCGGCGGGGCGGGCGGCAGAGCTGGGCTGCTCCAGCCCGGCCGCTTCCCCGCGCCCGGCGCGTCCCTTTCCGTCAGGCAACGAAATCCCGGCCGCCCGGCGGGTCCGGTGTAAAATTCAGCCGTGAGGAGGAGGAGGAGGCAGGTGGCTGCAGCGCTCCCTGCGAGCTGGCTGGCGGCGAGCAGAGGGCGAGGGGGCTGCGGATGGGGTAGCTGCAAATCCTTCAGGCAGGCTCTGCCCGCTCCGCAAAAAATCACACGGGCGCCTACACCTTCCCGAGCGCCGTTCCCTTTGCCCTCGGAGACCCGATTTTATTTAATTTTTTAGTTTTTTTTTGGCGTTGGGAGAAAGCGCCAAACAGATCCGGCACCCGCCTGAATTATAAATCTGCCTTCCCGGTGGGAGATGATGCTGAAGGGGAACGGGGTTTGCGAGAAACCGGCTGCCGAGTTCCTGACAAACTGAAATCGCGATCCCAGCCCGCCGCCCCCCGCAGAGCCCTCCCCGATAAGGTGAAACGTGTCACCCCCGTGATAACGATGCTGCCCGGGGAGACGGGAGGGGGGAAGGCGGCTGTTGGGCACAAACCGAATCGTTCGAAGGGCGAGACGGCCAGCGGGGGTGCGGTGGGGTGGCCGGGGGCTGGTGTCACCCGCCCCGTCTCAGCGGCCCGGCGGATCGCCGCCCTCCCTCCCTGTTGGGTGCCGGTGCTGGGACCGGCTCTCCCCGCCGTTTTCTCTTCCGTTCCCATCCCTCTTTCCCCGCCGCGGATCCTCCCCTCCGTGCCCGAGCGGCTGTGCGCCCGGGAGGACGGTGCCACCTTGGCAAAAAGTCTTTTTTTTTTTTTGGAGGAAGGAGGGAAGTCGGGCCACTGCGGGCACCGCGGGTGATGCAGGCAGTACCCTCACACGTAGCGGCGCGGGGGCACGGGGCGGCCCGGAGCCCCTCCGGTAGCCGGCTGCGGGAAAAGAGGGTGGGGGGAGGGCTGGGGAGAGGGGGACACACACACCAGAGTCACAGGTGACTTGTTCCAATTAGTAGCTGTCTAATTAAATTAGTGTCACGCGGCCCAGCCAATGGGCCGGCGGGGGTGGAGGGGCGGCGATGAGACAGCCCGGCTGAAGCCCCTCCCCGGCGGCCC